CTCAGCAGATTGAGGGTCTGACTCTTGATCTCTGATCTCAGCTCAGGTCATGATCCCAGGGTCGTGGGATCAAGCCCCATGTTGGGTTCCACACAGGAGCATGGAGCCTGCTTAAGATTATCTCTCTCTCTCTCTCTCTCTCTCCCTCTCCCTCTCCCTCTCTCTCCCCCCCCACCTCTCTCCCCTGCTCAAGCTAGTTCTCTCTCCAAAATAAATAATTAAATAACTAAAGTATTTTTTTTTTTTAATTTTTTTTTTCAACGTTTTTTATTTATTTTTGGGACAGAGAGAGACAGAGCATGAACGGGGGAGGGGCAGAGAGAGAGGGAGACACAGAATCGGAAACAGGCTCCAGGCTCCGAGCCATCAGCCCAGAGCCCGACGCGGGGCTCGAACTCACGGACCGCGAGATCGTGACCTGGCTGAAGTCGGCCGCTTAACCGACTGCGCCACCCAGGCGCCCCTAAAGTATTTTTCTTTATGAAAAGATGGTGATTATAAATGGCAACTTGGGTTTTAAAAAAATGAATTCAGTCTATTTCTTTTTTTTAAAGTAGGCTCCACACCCAACATGGGGCTCAAACTCATGACCCCAGGATTGAAGAGTCACGTGCTCTACCGACTCAGCCAGCCGGGCTCCCCTAGTCTATTTATTTCTGTTCCTCATTATTACCCTGGTTAGTTTAATTTTTTTTAATTGAAATATAATATGCATACATTCCCATTAGTTTTAATAGCCCTATATTTATGATTGTTTTCTAACTTGGCAAAACGAAAAGTTGGGCAACTCTACGTAAGTCTGTCAAATTATTTTCTAAAGAAAATTTACTGGTCCATAAAATTGGATTGAGTTCAATATCCCTCCTGTTTGCAGAAAAGGAAATGAGGGTCTAAGGAAGTTAAATGTTAAAATGTTATGCATACAATGAAGGTCACCTAGCTAGTTAACAGCATATTCAAGACTACAGCCATGGTTTTTGCCTCCCAGAGCCCAGAGGGCCTGCAGCTGACCCAGCTTCACAGGTGTTCAAAATTAGTACAAAGTATAAAATTTGATCCTAAAACCACTCACAGTGCAGAACTGAGATGGACATGAGTTTTACGCGTTTCATTAGATTACACGTTAAGTTCTACTGGGCTTTGCCACAGTGATCACTTACAATCACAACAAATAATCTTCCCATGGCATGAATTATGCATTTTTGTGATTTTCATCTGATCAAAACTCAATAGGACAATGTGAGGTTTTATAAATATACACAAATAAATATGCACTTATGTCATCAGCTCCACCTGTAAGCTACTTAACTCATTTTCTTCTTTATCAGTCACAACAGAGTAGCCGCCATTTTCCCCTTACAGTTCACCACACACAGTTCCAATGTAATCAGGCTGCATCTAGGACAAGATGGACCAGTTTACTCAGCCTCACACTGAGTCATGTAAATATCAGAAGATGACACATGTTACCAACACAAACATAAGAGCCTTTAAAACCAGCCCCAGAGCTAGGAAAACCTTCAAAACTGCAATGCAAAAAAAAAATATTTTAATGCATTTATCTTGATTTCTCATTATTATTCTAATTAATTTTATAGCCCCTGTATTTATGGGTTTCTAATTCCCGCTGTTAACTGAAGTTACCGTTTAGCATGCAGGCTCACATTCTTATTATTTTCCTCATAATAATTTTGAACTAGAGGCCATAAACACAGCCTCATTGTTTTAAAGAGAACAAAATAAAACAAAAGCCCTTACCTGTAAAGTAAGGCAGGTGTCCAGGAAAATTAAAGTCATATCTTACTTGGATCCCTGGACTATTTTTTTTTTTTTAATTTCGAAATAATCTTAGACTTCAGCAAGGTCACAAAAATAGTACATCTCTGGGGGTGACTGGCTGGCTTAGTAAGTCAACAGAGTATGCAACTCAATCTCAGGGTTGTGAGTTCAAGCACCACATTGGGTATGAAGACTACTTAAAAAAAAAAGTACATCTCTGTATAACCGTCCTTTCCCTAATGTTAACATCATACACGACCATGGTATAATGATCACAACTAAGAAATTAACATTAGTACAATACTATTAACTGAACTACACATTTCACTAGAATTTCACCAGCGTTCCCACTAATGTCCTTTTTCTGACTCAGGGTCTAGTCTAGGATTCTCACACTGCACTTAGTTGTCCTATCTCCTTGGTCTATTCTGTGACCAATCTTCATTCAGCCTTGCTTTGTCTTTCATGACCTTGACACTATTGAAGAATATGGATTAATTATGTTGCAGACTGTCCCTCAAGTGGGTTCGTGTGATGCCTTCTGCTGAATGGAATGAGGTTAGGCATTTTTGACAGAATATCACACAATGTACTTTTCCAGTACATCATACGAGGAGGACACAATACATCTTATTACTGGTGATTTAAACTTGATTATTTGGTTAAGATGGTGCCCTTGGCTTCAAACTGCTCATAATCTATCATTCTACGTTCTTTATTAGCAGAGATGACAACCAAAATAGTAGCACACTTACACGGGGTGGGAACAGAGAGAAAGGCCTTCCTGACCTTCCACATGGAGCTGCCAGCAGATGGTCTTATGGAGGGCTGGAGCTCTGAACAGACGCTCTAGAGGATGGTACACAGGACGTTAATGCTCTGGCAAAGGGGTCTGAGGCAACACCTCCAAGTTGCCATCAAGCAGGAGACCTTGGCCAGCCCAAGGCCAAGGCGGGCAGGCTTTCTTCCCAGGGGAATAAGGGCTGATGAGCAAGTGTTTGTGTGTTTCTGGATTTCTGCTCTTCTTTTCTTTCATCCTCTACTTTTGTTTTCTTTCTTTCTTTTTAAAAAAATTTTTTTTTATTTTTTTATTGAAAAAAAAATTTTTTTTTAACGTTTATTTATTTTTGAGACAGAGAGAGACAGAGCATGAACGGGGGAGGGGCAGAGAGAGAGGGAGACACAGAATCGGAAGCAGGCTCCAGGCTCTGAGCCATCAGCCCAGAGCCCCAACGCGGGGCTCAAACCCACGGACCGCGAGATCGTGGCCTGAGCTGAAGTCGGACGCCCAACCGACTGAGCCACCCAGGCACCCCTCTTTTTAAAAATTTTTAATGTTTGTTTTATTTTTGAGAGAGAGAGAGAGACAGAGCGCAAGCAAGGAAGGGGCAGAGAGAGAAGGAGACACAGAATCCGAAGCAGGCTCCGGGCTCCAAGCTGTCAGCACAGAGCTCAAGGCGAGGCTCGAACTCACAAACCATGAGATCATGATCTGAGCTGAAGTCGGACGCTTAACCGACTGAGCCACCCAGGCGCCCCACTTTGGTTTTCTTTGACTAAGACTTCTACACTTACCTCATCTCTGATTTTAATGAAATCCCAATAAGAATATTTATCTACTGCTCTGGTGGTTAATTACTTCAAGTGAATTTCCATAAGCTGACATGAATAGCAGCACCCCTGCCGGCCATCTTGCCATCATCCACCTGTCCCCTGGAGGCAGATGGCAGTGCACCTACAGTCTAGTACAAATCCACACCACTTAATCCTGGAGACTCCACAGGAACCAAGGTTCGTTCGTTTTCTTTCTTTCTTTCTTTCTTTCTTTCTTTCTTTCTTTCTTTCTTTCTGTCTGTCTGTCTTTCTTGTTTTTAATTGAGATATAATCCACATACCACAAAATTCACCCTTTTCACAAGTGCACAATTCAGTAGTGTTTAGTATATTTACAATATTATCCCACCATCACCACTAATTCCAGAATCTCTTCATCACCCCAAAAAGAAATCTTGTACCCACTGGCACTCCCCATACCCCTCTGTCCCCAGCCCCTGGCAACCCCCTAATCTACTTTCTATCTCTACGGATTTGCCTATTTGAACCAAGGCAGTTTTGATCCTAAATAATAATAACCAAGATGATCTCAATCCAGTTAACCTAGGAGATGCACACATACACCCATAAACTTTGATTCTGGCAACACCTCACCTTCCCTTTTGATACTTTAGACTCCCTATGCTACCCCATTCCCCAACTGTGTCTCAGAGGTGACATGTGCATTTGTCTTTCTCGGGGTAGAACGTTTCATCCTCCATCAAAAACCACGTCGTGTTCTATCAGTGTCCTGCAGTGGTGAGGTAATGTTTAGGTAAATTTATCTCTGCTAAGGTGCTAAGAAGTACCAGATTTACATTTTAGCGGAGAACTTTTGCTGTCTAAGGCTCAGCCAGGATGGCCATATGACCCAGCTTGTTTAGAACTGTTCCAGGTGAGGGGCGCCTGGGTGGCTCAGTCGGTTAAGCGTCCAACTTTGGCTCAGGTCGTGATCTCACGGTTCGTGAGTTCGAGCCCCGCGTCAGGCTCTGTGCTGACAGCTCAGAGCCTGGAGCCTGCCTCGGATTCTGTGTCTCCCTCTCTCTCTGCCCAGCCCCTGCTTGTGCTCTCTCTCTCTCTCTCTCACTCAAGAATAAATAAAACACTAAAAAACAACAACAACAACAACAAAACTTCCGATTGATACCTGTTGCCCTGGCTTAATGATTAGTAGCATCTCCTTTTCTTCTCAACAGTGTCCTGGTTTGTTTGTTTAATTATATGGTCCCCCAGCCACAACCAACATAAATGTCTAATCATGGTAATTATAGGCAATTTGGCAGGCCAACAGAGAAAACACATTTAGGTAAATGAAGTTTCGATGTTCCTCCAATCACACCCCAGCTCTGCATTCCCATAAAGAAGTTTAAATTCACCAACCTGGGGCACCTGGGTGGCGCAGCCGGTTAAGCGTCCGACTTCAGCCAGGTCACGATCTTGCGGTCCGTGAGTTCGAGCCCCGCGTCGGGCTCTGGGCTGATGGCTCAGAGCCTGAAGCCTGTTTCCGATTCTGTGTCTCCCTCTCTCTCTGCCCCTCCCCCGTTCATGCTCTGTCTCTCTCTGTCCCAAAAATAAATAAACGTTGAAAAAAAAAATTAAAAAATAAAAATAAAAATAAATTCACCAACCTGTAGGAATCAGGGTTTCATCTACCGGCAAAAAGGCATCAGCTTCTATAGTGACTTCATGGTCATAGATGTTTGGGGAACCCTGGGAAGGAAAGGTAGAGAAAGAAAAGAAGATTTAATGCTTAGTCTTATTTTACTTTTTTTTAAAGACAGAGAGAGAGTGAGAGTGTGTGCGCAAGCAGGGGATGGGCAGAGAGAAAGCGAGAGACCATCCTAAACAGACTCCATGCTCAGAGCAGAAGGAGGCCAACGTGGGGCTCAATCCCATGACCCCGGGATCATGACCTGAGCCGAAATCAAGTGTCAGACACTCAACCAACTGAGCCACCCAGGCATGCCT